CAGAATTTTAACAAAATTTTTATAAATCTTTTTAAAAGCACCTTAAATTATAGAGAAATCAATGAAAAATTTTATTTTTAGAGCAAATAAAAAACTTAACGAAACTTTATTTTCCTAACGAAACAGAATTTTAACAAAATTTTTGTAAATCCTTTCCAAACACCTAAAGTTATATAGAAATTAATGAAAAATGTTGTTTTTAGAGCAAATAAAAAAGTTAACGAAACTTTATTTTCTTTAACAAAAAAGATTTTAATGAAATTTTACACATTCTTTTAAAACCCTAAAATTATAGAAAAATCAATGAAAATGTTTGTTTTTAGAACAAATAAAAAACTTAACGAAACTTTATTTTCTTTAACGAAAACTAATTTTCCAATTTTTTTCCATATTCCTTTATATTAGTTCAGTTTCTTTACAATAACATAAAATTTTTCATTTTGTGCAAATAAAAAACTTAACGAAAGTTTATTTTCTTTAACGAAGCCTAATTTTTAAGAATTTTTCCATATTCCTTTATTTTAGCTCACTTTCTGTACAAAACCATCAACATTTTTGGATTTTGTGCAAATAAAAAACTTAACGAAAGTTAATTTTCTTTAACGAAACCTAATTTTTACAAAATTGTTCCATCTTCCTTTATTTTTGTTCACTTTCTTTACAAAACCATCAACATTTTTGGATTTTGTGCAAACAAAAAACTCAACGAATGTTTATTTTCTATAAAGAGAACTAGTTTTCACAAAATTTTTCCGTTATGCTTTATTTTAGTTCAATTTCTTTACCAAACTATTAAAATTTTTTTAATTCTGTGCAAATAAAAAACTTAACGAATGTTTATTTTCTATAAAGAAAACCTATTTTCACAAAATTTTTCTGTATTGTTTTATTTTAGTTCAGTTTTTTTACAAACTATCAAAATTTGTTTAATTTTGTGCAATTAAAAAACTTAACGAATGTTAATTTTTTATAAAAATTCTATTAAATTTGGAATATTAATTAATTTGTTGTTTGTTTTTTTGCAAAAATGTATCTGAAATGTGTGTTTTTTCCCAGCCCAACCGGGTCAAGCTGGCTTTTAAATGGGTCATTTGCCTAAATTCTTTACAAAACTATCACTTGGATGTACATTTTTTTATTGCAAATTTCTTTTAATTTTATAACAAATTCCTTAGAAATAGACCCCACCCCTTAAAAATGTATGCTAATCCAATTAATGATACTTTTAACTGCAACAATTGTTAAAAGAAATACTTTTGCAAATAATGTCATTAAATACACAAAATGTCACTTGAAAAGTCAAGCTAAATGTCAAATTTGCTTAAAACAACAACAAAAAAAGACGCTGTTTAGCAACCCTTAAAAAAATTTTCTAAGGTACACACCAAATTTTGTAAAAAGTCTTTAAATGTAAAAAAAAAACTTACTTGTCTTTTTATAATAAACAGTATAGTGTTAGCTGGAGAAATTTTCTTTTGATATTTTTACTTTAACTTGATATTTTTAACAAATTTAACTTTAAAACTTTAATTTTATTACATAATTATTGACTTTAACTCCCCTTTTTCAGCAGGAGTTGTTTTAAACTTTTCTAAAATGGTGATTGAGCAAAAAAAAAAACACACACAATTTTTCACTTTAACTTTTTTTCTATTCAACCAAAAACTAACAAAAAAGGAAGACCTTTTTGTTTTATTTTATTAATAAAAAAACACTTTTTACTTATTTTTCTTTCATATTTTGTTATTTTCACTTTTGTCTAACAACAATACAAAATATTATTTATGATTATGCACTGCACCACCTGCTAAGAACTGTAATTATAACGCAACTGATTATGACACTCTTTATGCTGCTGCTGCTAACGCTGCACTAGTATTCATTCTATATTTTACAACAAAAAAATCCCACAACAAAATTGGATGTTTTTACAGCAAAAACAATAACAATCAAAGAAAAGAATAACGGTATGAAATTTAAGGTATATACACACCGAAAAGAAAAAAACAACAACAAAAACAGGAGACCAACAATACACTAATATTAAGCTTGAACTCTTTGAGTAAAAATGTCATGTCACAATACTAAAAAAGTACTAGAAGTAATAATAACAACAACCCACAACACATCAAACACAAGTTGCAAAAATCCCAACACCACCCATTTAGCAAATGCATGAAGAGCTTGCGAGAGCAAAAAAAAACATAAACAAAACAATACAACTGTAATAAGCAAAAGGAAATGTAAACACTAGTGTTAACAACCCTATATAAAATAAGAGTTTAAAAATACGCTAAATAAAAAATCGCAAATTAAATAAATATCTCTAAAAAATTTATTAAAATAAACAAAATTTCTTAAAAAAATAAGAAATTTAATTAAAAAATCTTAAATAATTAATAAAATTTTTTAAAATAAAAAGAATTTTAAATTTAATAGAAATACAAACATATAACTTAAAAAAGTTTTAAACATATTAAGAAATCATATCATAAACCTTTAAAATTAACAGCTGAATATAAATTTTATTAGCTGAATTATAGATCATTTAAATTTTTTAGCTGAATACCTATTTTTCTTGGCTGAAATGTTAAAAACTTGAAAATATTTTAAAAGATATGTTGTTAACCGTTAAATTACTAACTGAATTAAAATTGCATTAGCTGAATTTAATATTTTTGAGCTGAATTTAAGGATGAGTTTATTAGCTGAAATTAAAGATTTTCTTAGCTGAATTGTTAAAAACGTTGAAAATCCTCAAAATGATTAGCTGAATTGAATTTTATAAGGTAACTAAATGCTTCTTAGCTGAATTGGTTAAAGACATTGAAAATCTTAAGTTAAGTTAGTTAGTTAGTTAGTAGTTAGTTAGTTAGTTAGTTAGTTAGTTAGTTAGTTAGTTAGGTTAGTTATTAGTTGTTAGTTAGTTAGTTAGTTAGTTAGTTAGTTAGTTAGTTAGTTAGTTAGTTAGTTAGTTAGTTAGTTAGTTATGTTTAGTTAGTTAGTAATTATTTATTTAGTTTTAGTTAGTTCGTTACGTTAGTTGTTGTTAGTTAGTTAGTTCGTTAGTTCGTTCGTTAGTTTCGTTCGTCGTTCGTTAGTTAGTTCGTTCGTTAGTTAGTTCGTTCGTTAGTTAGTTCGTTCGTTCGTTCGTTTCGTTCGTTCGTTTCGTTCGTTCGTTCGTTCGTTCGTTCGTTCGTCTTCGTTCGTTCGTTCGTTCGTTTCGTTCGTTCGTTCGTTCGTTCGTTCGTTCGTTCGTTCGTTCGTTCGTTCGTTCGTTCGTTCGTTCGTTCGTTCGTTCGTTCGTTTGTTCGTTCGTTCGTTCGTTTTTTTTTCGTTCGTTCTTTTTTTTTCGTTCGTTCGTTCGTTCGTTCGTTCGTTCGTTCGTTCGTTCCTTCGTTCGTTCGTTTTCGTTCGTTCGTCGTTCGTTCGTTCGTTCGTTCGTTCGTTCGTTCGTTCGTTCGTTCGTCGTTCGTTCGTTCGTTCGTTCGTTCGTTCGTTCGTTCGTTCGTTCGTTCGTTCGTTCGTTCGTTCGTTCGTTCGTTCGTTCGTTCGTTCTTCGTTCGTTTCGTTCGTTTCGTTAGTTCGTTCGTTCGTTCGTTCGTTCGTTCGTTCGTTCGTTCGTTCGTTCGTTCGTTCGTTCGTTCGTTCGTTCGTTGTTCGTTCGTTCGTTCGTTCGTTCGTTCGTTCGTTTTTCGTTCGTTCTTCGTTTCGTTCGTTCTTCGTTCGTTTCGTTCGTTCGTTCGTTCGTTCGTTCGTTCGTTCGTTCGTTCGTTCGTTCGTTCGTTCGTTCGTTCGTTCGTTGTTCGTTCGTTCGTTCGTTCGTTCTCGTTCGTTCGTTCGTTCGTTCGTTCGTTGTTCGTTCTTCGTTTCGTTCGTTCGTTCGTTCGTTCGTTCGTTAGTTAGTTCGTTAGTTTTTCGTTCGTTCGTTCGTTCGTTCGTTCGTTCGTTCGTTCGTTCGTTCGTTCGTTTCGTTCGTTCGTTCGTTCGTTCGTTCGTTCGTTTCGTTGTTCGTTCGTTCGTTCGTTCGTTCGTTCGTTCGTTCGTTCGTTCGTTCGTTCGTTAGTTCGTTCGTTCGTTCGTTCGTTCGTTACGTGTTCGTTCGTTTTCGTTCGTCATTCTTTCCCCCCCTTTGGCGTTTTTTTCAGCTTTTTTTCATTCTTCCTCTTTCGCCTCCTTCCTTTCCCTGCGCATCACCTCTTTATTGCTTTCTCTATCACTAACCTCTCGCTGCTTACTTTTACAAGACATTTTTGTGTACTCCTCATTACAACAAAAAAATAAACAAAGTTTTAGTTCTTTAGCAACAACTACAAACTACCGGTCTCATTTCTTTCCCAAAAATGAGAGAATGTTTTTGTTTTCTTTTTGTTCCTCTTTCTGTCTGCTTTTCAACGAATACAGCAGAAATCATGTGTTTTTCATATTTTTTCCACATATTACCGTTATTTAGGGGGTGATTTAATTGTAATTGTTTATTAAAATAAAGAGCGCAAGTCTGACAGAGAGTGATAAAATTATTGTTTATCACTGCGTGGGTGGTTGTAAATAAATTAGAAGTGGTGTTTGGTGGCGTATGATTATTACATTGTTGTTTTTTTGGAATGAAAATGTTACGTGTTTTGTTTTTGAATGGTTTTTTGCATGATTTTGCATTTATTTGCAAAGTTATTGTTGTTTTTAATAGCGTTTGGTAAAGTTGAAGTTTTTCTTTACGTAATATTAGTCAAAAAAAAAGTAAAAAGTTTGTTATTTTTATTATAGTTTTTTTTTATAGTTTTACAGCAAAATAGCGTGATTGTTTGATTTGAAGTTTTCTTTACAAAAATTAATTAGTGACAGATATGTTATAACATATTTTTGTTGTAAAGCCATATTAGTTAATAGCCTAAAGATAGTCAAGGTTGCCATATTGTAAACTTCTTAACATATGCTCCCCTCATCCTTTCAAAACTAATTTTAACTATGACATGTGTGTTTTTAACACAACATTTACTTACCTCTCCATACTGGCCGCCCTTAGACCCATCGTTGAGGTAGTTACTTTCAGCGTTTGTTTGAGTAATGAACCCAAAACACCAACACTACGTTTACGTTCTTCATTGGGTGCTGATGTTGATGACATATCCTCGTCATTGTCATCACTTGCATGTCCCAATTGTGAATCATCTTCGGGTATACGCAGAATAGGTATAGTTAAGGGTCTTTGAGGAGGTTTTTCCTCCTCCTGCTCACCTCCCTCGCCAACCTCATAATTGGGATCGGTATAAGAACGTGGCCTATAGACTTCATGAACATAGGCACGACGATGTAACTTTTTGCGTGCAAAACATAGATTATCTATGGATTTGTGGTGTTTACGCAGCGATTCTGAGGAACTGGTGCGGTTGAGAGATTGAAGGGCTGTAAAAGGGTAAATTTTTTAACATTTTTCTTTCAAAAAGTAGTAGAAAAGTACTTTTTTGTAGATTTTTCTTCATTTTATGAAGTATTTCAAAAATAGTAGTAAAAAAGTCCTTTTTTAAAAATAGCAAATTTTGGCAAAATTTAATTTTTACTAATTTTAGGAACGTAAAATAGAAAATTTTTATTAAATTCCGTACATTTTGGAGATTTTTCAAAATAGTAGTAAAAAAGTTATTTTTAAATATTCTTTAAAAGTAGCAAATTTTTATATTTTTGCATGTATGACAACAATGATACAAATTTTGGTACATTTTTTTCAAATATGTATTAGTAAAAAGGTACTTTTTTTATTTAATTAAAAAATAAATTTTTTTGCAAAAAATTAATTAAGCAAGCAATATCAGAATTTTTTGTAAATTTTAGTACATTTTAGAATTTGTTCAAAATAGTAGTAAAAAAGTACTTTTTTAATTTTCTTTAAAAATTAAAAAAAAAAATTAACAGAAATTGTACTTTTAAGAAAGTAAAATAGTATTTTTTATAAATTTTTGTACATTTAAGAAATTTTTCAAAATAGTAATAAATCAAAGTACTTTTTAGATTTCCTTTAAAAATTACAAATTTAAAATTTGAAATTTTATTTAAAATTATATTTTCTCTTCATTTAAGTAGAAAAACGTAACAATTTTAAAAAATTTACTTCGTTAGAAGATATTTTTAAAATAGTAGTATAAAATGGTTGATATTCTTTATTTATGGAGAAAAATTAAACATTTTTATTTAGAGAAATTTTTAAAATAAAAATAATAAAAAAAGTAAAAATACTACTTTTTCAAAATTCCTTCAAAATTGTCAAATTTTATTTAAAATAGTTTCTTTTCTTTATTTATGAAGAAAAATTTAAAATTTTTGTAAATTTTACTTCATTTAGAAACATTTTTAAAATAGTAGTAAAAATACTACATTTTTAAAATTCCTTTAAAATTTTCAAATATTGTTTAAAATTGTATTTGTTTCTTTATTTAATTAGAAAAATTATAAATTTTTGTTTATTTAAGGACATTTTTAAAATAGTAGTAAAAATACTACTTTTTATTTTCTCTTAAAATTTTTAATTTTTATTTAAAATTATTTATTTTATTTATATTTATATTAAAAAAATTAAGAAAATTTATGATTTTAAAATAGTAGTAGAAATACTACTTGTTTTAAATTAATTAAAAATTGTTAAATATTGTTTAAAATTGTATTTGTTTCTTTATATAATTACAAAAATTAAAAATTTTATAAATTTTTGTTTAATTAAGAACATTTTTAAGATTGTAGTAAAATACTACTTTTTTATTTTCTCGTAAAATTGTTAAATTTTATTTAAAATTGTTTATTTTCTTTATATTATTAAGAAATTAAGAATAATTTATGATTTTTAAAATAGTAGTAGAAATACTACTTTTTTATTTTTCTTTTAAAATTGACCAATTTTGTACAAAATTATATTTATTAGCTTTATTTCTTAATAAAATGTTAAAAATTGTATAAATCTTTCCTTTTATTTAAAAAAAAAGTATTAAAAAAAGTACTGTTTCATGGTTTTGAGGGATTTTGTCTTATTAATTAAGTTTTTTATAAAATTTCTTACTTACAAGAAGCTTTAGAACAACTTAAATCCTCTGACGAGGAAACCGCGGTCATTCTTAGCAAAGAATCATCAAATGATTCGGCAGGACTGGCTGACCTTTGACCCGGCGGAGATAATTTACGATTTTTACGCGTTATATGACGTTTACGTGCCACGGAACTTATAAAATCCGCCTGATTTACCGTTAAATAAGGACTGCGTCTTTCACACATGTTTTTTTTTAATTTTTAATAAATTTTCATTCAAGTTTTTGAAATTTTTTTTTTTATTTTTTTAATTTTCTTATTTTTTTAGCTTTTTTACAATTTAGTTGTCATTAGTTTTAATTCTAAATGGCTACTAAAATTGTCTTTTTTTTATGTTGTTGTAAAATAAAAATTGTTTTTTAAAACTGTTCGTGTTCATTTTCTTTTAATTGTTTTTCTATTTATTTTTATAGTTTCTTTTTTTGCTTTCAAAAGAATCAATTCAAATAACAAGAGGGTGACAAAAATATTGTATAATTTTCGCAGAAAAAAAAAAGAACCGCATAACAAAAACCTTGGCTATTTTGCACGTTTATAGAATTAAGTAAACCCCCTTAAAGAAATATGGCAAATAGCCCATTAGATAAATTTTCTTTAAAAACAATTTTTTTACAAAATAAACTAAACCACTTTGTAGCGGCTTGAAATTTGTACTAAAATTGTAATACAAAACACATAATTTGTTTGCTTTGACTTAAAATTGTCTTAGCGCCTTTACTTTAATAATAACATTTCCTTAACCATTAATTATAATTAAGATTTTAACTTAACAGTTAAAACAACTCCAAACTTTTCTATGCATTAATATGTCGGAAAAGTTGACACGAAAGTTAACCGCACAAATGATAGCAATCACATTTTATTAATTAATTTGTTTGAAATAAG